TGTTGGTGCTGACCTTTAAAGCCCTAAACAGCCTCGGTCCAGTATACCTGAAGGAGCATCTCTACCCCCATCATTCTGCCCAGACACTGAGGTCCAGCGCCAAGGGCCTTCTGGCGGTTCCCTCGCTGCGAGGAGTGAGGTTACAGGAAACCAGATAGAGGGCCTTCTCGGTAGTGGCACCCGCCCTGTGGAACGCCCTCCCACCAGATGTCAAAGAGAAAAACAACTACCAGACTTCTAGAAGACATCTGAAGGCAGCCCTGTTTAGGGAAGCTTTTAATGTTTAATAGATTATTGTATTTTAATATTCTGTTGGAAGCCTCCCAGAGTAGCTGGAGAAACCCAGCCAGATGGGTGGGGTATAAATAATAAATTATTAGTATTAGTATTATTACCACCTTTTGCCAGCTCAGGTTATTTGTCCACTTGCATCTCCAGAGTTTCAGATGGGTCTCTTCTTCCCAGCCCTTCCTGGGGGTGACATGAACCCTCTGCGTGCATAACAAGTGTCTCCCCACCCTGGCCAATGGCCTTTTCCTTACAAATAATTAAAACAGAGCAAAAATGCACATAGTCTGCTTTTTCTCCACCACTAAGCAGCTGCAACCGGACTGCACCAATAGATTATGGAGAAGGAGGCTCCGATGTGTTGGAGGGTGAGACCGGCCAGCATGTTTGAGCCCCAGCACCACTTGCGCCAGCACCTGCTGAGCCCTGTGTGTGTGGTCGCTTCCTCCCCCCTGCAGATGCCCCTGTCTCAGAGCTGCACGACCTCCTGTGCAAGAAGCTGCAGCAGTGCTCCGTCCTCTTCGACTTCCTCGACTGCGTCGCCGACCTGAAGGGGAAAGAGATCAAGCGGGCAGCCCTCAATGAGCTGGTGGAGTGTGTGGCCACCAACCGTGGCATCCTCATTGAGCCGCTCTACCCTGAGATCATCAAGATGGTAAGCAGGGAGAGGAGAGGGAAGAGGATGGGCTCCCCCACCACACAAACAAGCACAAGCAAGGAGGCTCAACTGGTTGCTGGTCACTGGCAGCAGCCAGGGAGGCTGCATTGGTTGCTGGCAACAGCCAGGGAGGCTGAAGGCTAGGAATGCGTTCTGTCAGCTTGAGCAAGAGACCCCTGGCACAGATTATGACACAAGGGGAGGCAAAATGACCTCCAGTGAGGGATGGATGGAACACTCTCTAAATTTTTCCTGTTCCGTTTCTGCGTTTAATGTGTATGGGTTAAAACACACACACACACACATATCCACGCACAGAGTGAAAAGTAATATTTTAAAAATAATGCCTTTCTGGACAGAAGTGCTGACTATTATACAAGCAAGTGCAGGCTATGATCTCCCTCCTTTTTCTTCTCTCTGAAGTTAATAGTAGGGTGCCAGGGAAGATCTCATAACAGTGACATTGCAGCTATGGGCACCATGTTGGCAACCCGTGTGAATGATCTCATTGTCCTTTCCCTGAGATTCTTTGGGCATCTGGCTGGTCCCTGTCAAAGCCAGAAGCTTGAGGGGTGTATTTTTATAGGGGGCAGGGGTGTACCTTGCAGGGGTTTAGAACAGCTTGCTTGAAGTGGTAACTAGTCTATATAGCAGGCATAGGGAGACTCGGCCCTCCAGATGTTTTGGGACTACAACTCCCATCATCCCTGACCACTGGTCCTGTTAGCTAGGGATGATGGGAGCTGTAGTCCCAAAACATCTGGAGGGCTGAGTCTGCCTATGCCAGCTGTATAACTTGGCTGATTTCTTCTCTCCTCTCTCTACAGATCTCGGTCAACATTTTCCGGACGCTTCCGCCCAGCGAGAACCCTGAGTTTGACCCCGAAGAGGATGAGCCCAACCTAGAACCCTCGTGGCCACATCTCCAGGTAGGACTCCTCCATGGGGCTGCCTCGTGTGGGCATGTGTCATTTTGCCTGCATGGCAGAAAAAAAGGGGGTGCAGTCTTAGCCGCCACCTCCACCCCTGGCTTGCTGGTGGATGCCTTAAACCAGTGGTTCCCAAAGTGGGTGGTGGGTTAACTTGCAATGGCGAGCAGTGGGGGGGAGGGCGCTAAGAGTCAAGAGAGCAGCAGGGGGGGGGGCGTGTGCTGGAAGTGTAAATGACTATCTGATATCACCAGATTGGGTTTTTTGTTGAATTAATTAAACTAAAATAGTTTTAATTGGGTTTAACAAATGTGCAATTAATTGTGACTGTGGCTGCCTTTAATTTTATTGTGCTATTATCTTTCTTTGTGGGTTGTGCAAACTGCTATTCTGAAAAATACATTTGATAGGGTAAGGGGGCACCAGGAATAAGTTTATGAAACAAAAGGGAAGGTGGCCTAAATTTTGTGGGAACAAAAGTGCCTTGGGGGCAGGTGGGGGTGCGGAATTGGAAGAATTTGTGGTGGTTATTAATGGCTCCACCTCTCTACCTCTTCCCAGCTTGTGTATGAATTTTTCCTCCGGTTCCTCGAGAGCCCAGACTTCCAACCTTCAGTCGCCAAGCGTTACATAGACCAGAAATTTGTATTGCTGGTGAGTGAGAAGGAGCAAGAAGGCTGAGCAAGGGAGGGAGTGTGTGTGTGTGTGTGTGTGTGTGTGTGTGTTGTGTCTGTGCCTGGGGCAGCAAAGCCAGGTTACTGGGCATCGAGTGCGAGTCCTCTTTGCAGGTGGGTCACAAGCCATGCTGCTTCTGCAGTGACTTCGTTGTGGTACTGCAGAGAAATGAGGCTGTTTCAACTTCCAAAACTCCTGTGGAAAACTTTTCTATTCCATCAAACTTATGTGGGCATTTGAGAATGCATCTTTTCATAATGGTTTATGGTCTCTGATTCTAAAGCTTTGTGTGTGTGTGTGTGTGTGTGTGTGTGTGTGTGTGTGTGTTAATTATATACAGACATCCTTGTTGTAAACTTCTTTGACATTTTTAAAATCAGGTAGCAACACATAAATATTTTTAGACACAAGTAAATAAGACATGGCCAGGAAGGAGCTGGATGCCCTCCTTGGAAACTAGAGCCCAAATAAAAATAATACAGTGGTACCTCGGGTTACATACGCTTCAGGTTACATACGCTTCAGGTTACATATGCTTCAGGTTACAGACTCCGCTAACCCAGAAATATTACCTCGGGTTAAGAACTTTGCTGCAGGATGAGAACAGAAATCGTGCTCTGGCGGCGCGGCAGCAGTGGGAGGCCCCATTAGCTAAAGTGGTGCTTCAGGTTAAGAACAGTTTCAGGTTAAGAACGGACCTCCGGAACGAATGAAGTATTTAACCCGAGGTACCACTGTAATAATAATTTATTTATATGCCACCCATCTGACCGGTTTGCCCCAGCCATTCTGGGCAGCTCCCAACAACAAAAGAGTAAAATCACAATACAAGCTTGGCTTCCCTCTGGGGCACCTGGTTGGCCACTGTGAGAACAGGCTGCTGTGCCAGGACCCCCTTTGGGCTAATCTTAGGCTGTGCAGATGACTCTGCTTGCAGAAGGCAGCAAGCTAAGTCACTGGCATCTCCCAGTCGTGCTGGAAGCTTGGAGAGCCTCTGCCTGGTGTTCAGTAGAAGGCCCAGGAAACTCTCCAGGAGTTTCACGGGGGACGTTCCAGGCTCATTTGCTCTGACTCCTCCTCTCCCCTCTCCCTTTCCTTCAGCTACTGGAGCTTTTCGATAGCGAGGACCCTCGGGAGCGCGAGTACCTCAAGACCATCCTCCACCGCGTCTATGGCAAGTTCCTGGGCTTGCGTGCCTACATCCGAAAGCAGTGCAACAACATTTTCTTGCGGTGAGTTCCTCTTTTCTCTGCTCCACCCCAGGGTTGCTCCGCATCCTGGCCTCCTGCAGCGCAGGCTTCTCTCCCCAACACTCTGCCCACCCAGTGTGGTCAGAAGCAGTTGCTCAGGTCTCGCTGCCAGCCTCTTTTCTGGCCAAGGAGGGGATTTGCAGGTGGCCTGCATCCGAACGTTGGAAGGTTCGGAACATGTAAAAGAAAGTATCTTCTCCCTAAATCCCCTTTGACACATAAACTACAGGATAAGGCTAACTGTGACTTTAAAGATGAATGAGAACCTTTTACAAAGTACCATATTTTTCGCTCTATAAGACGCACCAGACCACAAGACGCACCTAGTTTTTGGAGGAGGAAAACAAGGAAAAAAATATTCTGAATCTCAGAAGCCAGAACAGCAAGAGGGATTGCTGCGTAGTGAAAGCAGCAATCCCTCTTGCTGTTCTGGCTTCTGGAATATCTGCGCAGCCTGCATTCGCTCCATAAGACGCACACACATTTCCCCTTACTTTTTAGGAGGGAAAAAGTGAGTCTTATAGAGCCAAAAATACGGTACTTAAAGAAACAACAACGTGAACTGGACTCCTTGGCAGATTTTGAATAAAGAAGAAGAAGAAGAAGAGTTTGGATTTGATATCCCGCCTTTCACTCCCTTTAAGGAGTCTCAAAGCGGCTAACATTCTCCTTTCCCTTCCTCCCCCACAACAAACACTCTGTGAGGTGAGTGGGGCTGAGAGACTTCAAAGAAGTGTGACTGGCCCAAGGTCACCCAGCAGCTGCATGTGGAGGAGCGGGGAAGCGAACCCGGTTCACCAGATTACGAGACTACCGCTCTTAACCACTACACTACACTGGCTCTCAAAACACTCACAAACTCAGATAAATTAAGGATTTATACAGTTTTGTAACATGCAGAGAATAGCATTTGTAGAGAAACCAGAGATTGGAGCTGAGGGAAGTCGGGGGGGGGAATGGGGGGGATCCAGGATATGTATTAAGATAATATGTTTTGTTTAAATTCTTAATAAAAAATACTTTAAAAAAAGAAAGTATCTTCTCCACACAGCCCAAAGTTAAACTGTGGAACTCCCTCCCACAGGAAGCATTAGCCTAGACGACTTTAAAAGAGGATTGGGACAGATTCATGTAGAATTATAGAGTTGGAAGGAACCTCAAGCGTCCTCTAGCCCCACTCCCTCCAAGGCAGGAATATTTTGCCCAGTGTGGGGCTCGAACCCACGACCCTGAGGTCAAGAGTCTGATGCTCTACCAACTGAGCTAACAAGGGCTACCAGCCATGATGTCTGTGCTGTGCCTCCACAGTCGGAGGCAATAATGCTTCTCAGCACCAGTTGCCGGAAACCACAGGAGGAGAGAGTGTTCCTGTGCTCAGATCTGGCTTGCAGGATTCCCTTGGGTGGCCACTGTGAGAACAAAATGCTGGACTAGATGGGCCACTGGCCTGATCCAGCAAGCCCTTAAGTTCTTACCCATGTGGTGAGAACCCATTCAGGGGGATAATGTAGCCTGCTGTCCACTAGAGGGCAGGATGACCTTGTCCTGTGTTCTCCCTTCATTTCCTAGCTGGGGACTCCCTCACTTTTCACGCTAGCAGATAAAGAAAAGCAGCGTATTCTGGGTGGTGCAGGAGCTGCCAGACCCAAGGGATGAGGAACCCATAGCCGTTCAGATGTTGTTGGACACCCAACTCCCAGCAGCCAGCATGGCCAATGGGTGGGAGTTGTAGTCTAGCAACACGCAGTCGATAGAGCACAAGACTCTTAATCTCAGGAGCCCCATGTTGGGCAAAAAGATTTCCTGCATTGCAGGGGGTTGGACTAGATGACTCTTGGGGTCCCTTCCAGCTCTTCAATTCTAGAATTCTGTGGTAGGAGAGGCTCACTCTGGTCTGGTGCCCTGAATACCCTTCCTGGGGGCCAACTTGACATCACAGCATAATAATAATAATAATAATAATAATAATAATAATAATAATAATAAATAATTTATTATTTATACCCTGCCCATCTGGCTGGGCCTCCCCAGCCACTCTGGGCGGCTTCGAACCGAATATTAAAAACAATACAGCATCAGACATTAAAAACTTCCCTAAACAGGCCTGCCTTCAGTTGTCTTTTAAAAGTAAAATAGTTGTTTATTGCCTTGACATCTGCTGGAAGGGTGTTTTCTAGCTGGGCTAGGAAAGAAGAGGATCCAAGCAGAAAGTGGCAGTGGAGTTCTGCCTTGTGGTGCTGCGATGTGATGTGTTGCTGTTGTTTGTTTATATGCCGCCTTTCAGCCGAAAAGGCTTCTGAGCCAGCTCACAAGAATAAACTGACAACAGTATACAGGCAGATACAAATGCAAAGCATTTCAACTATATTAAAAACCCAACATGGCTCTGTTCCTGACAGAAAAGCCAGGAACAGTCCCTGCAAAAAAAAATGTTAAGAGAAGAGAGCCCGTAATGGTGCAGTGGTTAGAGTGTTGGACTCTGGGAGAGATTTGGGTTCGAATCCCCACTCAGGCATCGCGAAGCTCACTGGGTGACCTTGGGCCAGTTGCTCACTCTCAGCCCTGGCCTGCTTCGCAGGGCTGTTGTGGGGAATCAAATGAAGAGCGAAGGAGGAACCGCGTGAGCCGCCTTGAACTCCTTGGAGAAAAAGCTGGGATGTAAACGCAATAAATGAAAACGAAGAATACTTCAGCAGCATCTTTGCCATACAATGGTCCCAGGTGGGGCGGGTGGGGCAAGGCAGGTGGAAAAGCTGGTGGTTGTGATGATGATGTGATCCCTACCTCTCTTCTCCCCCCCCCCCAGGTTTATCTACGAGACAGAGCATTTCAACGGCGTGGCGGAGCTGCTTGAGATCCTGGGAAGGTAAGCACCTTAGGACATGGAGGACGGGCATCAGCCGGAGCTGCACCTTCCTGCCTCCGTTGAATGCTGAGGGGCCTCTTTCCTTCCCTCCTCTCCCCTTCAGCTTCTGCCATGCACCAGCTGGGCTCCTTCCTGGCTGCTGCTTCTGCTGCTGTGGGCGGAGCAAAAGGGCAAGACGCTGAGTCATCGGAAGCTCAGCCATGTGCTCCGTCACCCACGACTCGGGAGTCTGGGTTGCATGACAATACAGTCCACGAGATGCCACAAGCTCACGCTGTTTTTATTTTGCCACATTCTGAGATTTAAATGTTTTTGTTTGATCCACTTCACCTTCATCGCACTGGTGGCCATTTCCTTTCCCAAATACGTAGAAGTATTTGTTAAACGACAACAATGCTTAGGCTCTATTCGTATTCTGTGGGTGCTGCACAATGCTTTTCCTTTGGCATCTTCTCCTGCCTCTTTCTTACTTCCCCCTCTATAATTTTTCCCTTCGCTTATAATTAAAAATATATATAATAAATTAAAAGGAAGGGTGAGATGTCAGAATTTTAACAAATTTAAATTACGTTTCCTGTAAAGTCCAGGGAATTTTTGGGGGAATGGATGGAGAGGCATAGGAACAGTAGTGCTGGTTTCTTCTCTCCCACCAACCTTCCCTGCCAGCAGTCAGGTGTTGAAGATGGGAGTTGAGGGCTCCTCTTTCTCAGAACTACTCAGGAGAAAAGGCAGGGGTGTCCCTTCCTCTGTTTGGGGGACGGCAGCATTCCCAACCACTCCCTCCCCCAGTTTTCTTTTTATTTGTTTCTTTTGCTGCAAAAAATGTATATGCCGCTTTATCACAAAAACTTCAAAGCGGTTTGCGAAAAGAAAAAGAAAAAAACAATTACCGAAAACAATTAAAACATCCCAAAGATTTAAAGCCAGCAATAAACTAAAAACACACATCAGCATACTGCATATCTGGGCAGGCTTGTCTAACCAGAAATGTTTTCGGCAGGCGCCAAAGAGTGCCTGCCCGATGTCGCCATCACTAGGCAGGGAGTTCCGAAGTTGTAGGTGCCCCCACACTAAAGAGATCGATTTCTTGCAGTTGCGGAATGGGTGTCGCACGGCACCAGCTTTGATGCCTCCCACTGTGTTTCCTCCCTCCCCTCCCCAGTATAATCAACGGGTTTGCTTTGCCCCTGAAGACGGAGCACAAGCAGTTCCTGGTCCGGGTCCTCATCCCGCTGCACTCGGTGAAGTCCCTCTCCATCTTCCACGCCCAGGTGAGCCTCACTCTACAGGGAACCCCCGCCTCCCTTGATGGCCAAAGGGGCCTCTGCTGTCAGGTGGGGTGGGAGGGTGGGGACGATCTGTAGTGGAGTGATGCCTGGGACTCTGGTGGGGGTTGTGGGGAGGGGGGTGCGCTTGAGTGTCCCCGAGCTCTAACCTCCGACCCTTGACCCCGCTTTGTCTCCTGCAGCTGGCTTACTGTGTGGTCCAGTTCCTGGAGAAAGATGCAACGCTGACCGAGCATGTGAGTCAGGATTTGGCCACGTGGGGTGCTGGTTGTGGGGGGCAGCAGAGCAGCAGGTGGCGGGGTGGGGGGGTGGGGAGAAAACCCAAGTCCCATGGGCAACAGTTAAGGGAGTACCAAACAAAAAAATACAGTGGTACCTTGGGTTACATACGCTTCAGGTTACATATGCTTCAAGTTACAGACTCCGCTAACCCAGAAAGTTAGTGCTTCAGGTTAAGAACTTTGCTTCAGGATGAGAACAGAAATCGTGCTCCAGTGGCGCGGCGGCAGCAGGGGGCCCCATTAGCTGAAGTGGTGCTTCAGGTTAAGAACAGTTTCAGGTTAAGTACGGACCTCCGGAACGAATTAAGTACCGTATTTTTCGCTCTATAACACGCACCTGACCATAACACGCACATCGTTTTTAGAGGAGGAAAACAAGGGAAAAAATATTCTGAATGAAACAGTGGACGTATCATTTTTGTGCTTCATGCTGTGGCCACAGACATGTGATCTGATGGTGAATTTGGGGTGACCCAATGCAAAAATCCTGAGAATCCCTGTGGATCCATGCTTTGTAACCACGTTTTTGCACCATTGCAGCCCCAGGCAACAGTGGGTGCGTGATTTTTTTGGGGGGGCAGGCTGTAGCCATGGACATGCTATGTGCTCTGATGGTGAATTTTGGCTGACCCAATGCAAAGATCCTGAGGATCCATGTGGACCCATACTTTTTAACCATGTTTTTGCACCATTGCAGCCCCAGGCAACAGTGGGTGCGTGATTTTTTTTGGGGGGGGGCAGGCTGTAGCCATGGACATGCTATGTGCTCTGATGGTGAATTTTGGCTGACCCAATGCAAAGATCCTGAGGATCCATGTGGACCCATACTTTTTAACCATGTTTTTGCACCATTGCAGCCCCAGGCAACAGTGGGTGCGTGATTTTTGGGGGGGGGCAGGCTGTAGCCATGGACATGCTATGTGCTCTGATGGTGAATTTTGGCTGACCCAATGCAAAGATCCTGAGGATCCATGTGGACCCATGCTTTGTAACCACGTTTTTGCACCATTGCAGCCCCAGGCAACAATGGGTGTGTGATTTTGGGGGGGCAGGCTGTAGCCATGGACATGCTGTGTGCTCTGATGGTGAATTTGGGGTGACCCAATGCAAAGATCCTGAGGATCCATGTGGATCCATGCTTTGTAACCACATTTTAAGTGGGGAGGGAAGGAAAAACACAGAAGGCTAAGAATGCAGGAGAGGGCTATAACGTGAGGAAAGGAAGGCAAAAGTTTCCCCCCACCCACTCACCCAAGCCAGCCAGCGTGCTCTCTCTCTCTCTCTCTCCCTCTCCCTCCCACCAGCATGACAGAAGAAAGCATTTTAACTGCATTAAGAACTATTCAGCAGCGAAACCTAAGCTTTGCCATCCCTTAAGAGGTACAGACACTGTAATCTTCCAGATCGCATGAATTTACAGGCAAAACACTGTTTAAGGATTTCATCCTTTTAAATGGAAGAAAGCATATTTGAATGCTGTGTGTCTCCAAAAACAAAAAGCAGGAAGTCAAATCAGAATTTTAAGCCGAACCTGTAATCTCTCTTCCCTTCACAAACATTGTTCCCTCCGGAGCAGGGAGAGGATAGAACGAAGGACGCTCTGCTCTCCTCTCTTCTTGCCTGGAGGGGAGGGGCTTTCCCTGCTCTTTGTTCCGTTTGAGCAAACACAGTAACGAAACAGAGAGGGTGGGCAGTAAGACCCTGAGGCAGAATGCAGGAAAGCTGCCACTTCCTCTCTCACGGAGCTCCCTTCTCCCTGAAGCGCGGTTTGATTTTTGCCTCATTTTTCGGCTCCAGGGACCACACATTCGCTGCATAACACGCACAGACATTTCCCCTT